AGCACTTGATATACCCATACTACAACAAACCTCACTTTATTCAACATTCTAATAACTCAAACTCTCATAAAATAAATCATTCAAAACAACTAATACAAAAGCAAAGATTAAGAAGAATACACACAAATCATATTGAAAATACTTAGAAATTACTTAAAAATTTTATTCCCAAAGAAAAAAGAAGAAAAGAAACTATTGAACCATTATTAAAAGAATTTATTCTTAGATATAAATATAGAGATAATTTATGGAAAAAATCTTTAGAATTACTTAAAAATAACTAATATTTAACTTCTTTTCCATTCATATTCCCAGTATTTTCATCATGAGCTAATTTAAAATCAATACATTGTTGTTTTGCTTGTTCAGAATTTCTATTTTTGTTAATATAAAAATATTTATATTTTTGTTTGTTATTTTCATAAAAATGAAATCTCCAAGTTTTACGCGTTTTAATATAAGAAATTCTATTATATCCACTTGAATTATGTTTATATAATTTACAATTTAATGCGTTTTCTCTCCATGTTGTTTCTTGAAGATTGTATTTTCTATTGTCAAGACCATCTCGATTGATATGGTCAATTAACTTGAATTTTAATTTAATCATTCTATGAAAAAGAACTAATTTTTTATTAATATTTGTTGCAATATAAAAAGTATTATGATTTTTGCTTTTCCAAGATAACCAGGTATATTTTTTTATTAAATCAAAATTATCAAGATCAGATAGAAATGTGATTTCAGATTTTTGAGTTGAGACTTCGAGAAATAAAGTTGCATCGATTTCAACAATTTGATAAGAATTAGATTTTCTTCAAGGTTTAATGATTAGAAGTTTAGTCTAACTAGACAAAACTTCAAAGTCTTTAAATTTTTCTTGCCAATTAGACATTTTTTTAATTATTAATAAAATCTATAAAAACACGTCTTTTTTATAATTTTTATTTTCTCTTGAGTCAAAAATTTTTTTTATTTTAAAACTTAACAAATGTCTTATTATATTTATCATTCTGCCAATAATTATGTTTTTCATTTTACATTAAGTAAAAAAGAATTAAAAATTCATATTACTAAAGGAACTTCAACTCGACAACTAACACTTGTTCAAGTTGAATCTAAAAATTATTTGTTTATAATAAAAACAAGTGACTTAACGAATATTGAAAAATATACAGAAGCTGATAGAATTATTAATCTGAATAAAAATGTTGAAAGTTTTTCTATATTATATAATAATACTACTATAATTTATCAAAACGATAATTTTAGTGAATTATTTTAATTTTTAAATAAAATTAATCAAAAAAAAAATAATAATAATTTATAATTGATATACATTTAGTCTTATAAAAAACTTTATAAGTGCAAGCCAACCAATGTGCAGGTAGTATATCATCTGGCTCTTAAAAATTTAACGAAGAGCTAGAATTCAGGGGAGAATTATATCGGCCCCAGACCATTTTTAATATAATCCTTATCTTATGCTTATCTGTTTATAACCCAGTAGTAGGTGCATTGCACATGTCACCTTTCAGTCTACTAGGAGTCCTTACAATTTATTGTAAGTCTTTGTTTGAAATTCTTTTTTTGTTTTTAAGACCAACAAAAAAATAAAGCATTCGTTTAAAAACTACTAGCTAAAAAAACAACCAGGGCGAGACCTTCATATTAATTCTTTCATTTGATAAAGAGAAATTTACCAAGGCCAAGAATTATTAAAACCTTCTAACGAAAAAAAATTTTTTTGAATTCGCAACTTTTCAACTATATCATTAGAAATTTTATACATGTAATTTAACAGGAATTCTGATAGCTTAGTTTAAACTCATCAATATGAGGGAAACTTTAGAATAGTTTAAACTGTTAAATTTCAGAGGCCCTATCTAA